GTTATGTAGATATAAATGTGTCATTCTAAGGTAATGAAAACATTACGGTTTATTTAGCAAGTTCTTTTTACACCACTGAAAACATAGTTATGGATGTCATATTGCATTTCTGTTAATAGATACTCAAAATGTACACATTGCACCTTTAATTTGCATGTTGTAAGTAATCCCACACAGAACTTTCCACTCTTTGGCATTTTTGTGGGATTGTGTTTTCACACTAATTTGCCATGTTTAGTAAATCTGACCCACATCTTTTAGCATTCATTGCACATTTTATAACCACGTGGACAGTTGCTCTGATCTCTAGACAGACAAATCTCTCAACCTCATTTTCTTTCTCTTTGTCTCATCCCCTTTGGAGTCAATGGAGCATGTGGCCGTCTAAAACAGTCATATCCTTTTAATCAGTTCTACCCCAACTCCCACCTTGCAAAAGCTCAGATGATTCATTCACATGACCCTGCACACGATGCTCAGTACCATTTCATCTCACGGAGCACTGAGTTGGAATAGCCGAGCAAGCCAGGCTGTTGAGTGTGACAAGGCATCCTAAAGCTCTGGGAATCTCTTTGGTCCCTGTGTCTGTATTCATTACAGGAGTCAGTCAGTATGTCAATACATTAATAATATGCTCCATCACTCTGGAGCATATGCCGAGAATGGGGGTTAGGGAAACGTCAACTTCTCAGCCATGCATCTACTCCTCGTCCGCTTCTATTTTCTCAATAGATACTCACTAATAAATACAGTACTCTCTCAGAAAAAAAGGTACAAAAGCTGTCACTGGGGCTGTACCTTTTCAAAAGGTAAACTTTTGTCCATTTTAGGTGCTAATATGTACATTTTTGTAATATGTAAAATTTAGGTGCTAATATGTACATTTTAGGTGTTAATATGTACATTTTAGGTTCTAATAAGTACATTTTAGGTGTTAATATGTACATTTTAGGTGCTAATATGTACATTTTAAGTGTTAATATGTACATTTTAGGTGCTAATATGTCCATTTCAGGAGCTAATGTCCATTTCAGGAGCTAATATGAACATTAAGTGTTAATATGTACATTTTAGATGCTAATATGTCCATTTCAGGAGCTAATATGTACATTTTAGCTGTTAATATGTACATTTTAGGTGCTAATATGTACATTTTAAGTGTTTATATGTACATTTTAGGTGCTATTATGTCCATTTCAGGAGCTAATATGTCCAATTTAGGTACTAATATGTACATTTTAAGTGTTAATATGTACATTTTAGGTGCTAATATGTCCATTTCATGAGCTAATATGTCCATTTTAGGTGTTAATATGTACATTTTAGGTACTAATATGTACATTTTAGGTGTCAATATGTACATTTTAGGTGCTAATGTGTACCACTAAGGTACCAATATGCAGCCTTTGGGTACAAAAGTGTACCTTTTGAAAAGGTACAGCCCCAGTGACAGCTTTTGTAACTTTTTTTCTGAGAGTGTACCGTCTGAATAAAAGAAGGTTAAATCACCTTACTATAGCCAAAGATGCCTTACAAAAGGACTGTGGCAGTAGCATGGTTCAGCAATAGTACCAGATCTAGTATCATGGAACTTACTGATTTGCCATTTCATAGATCAATGTATTTAAAAGCTACTTCAATACCATTATAGTAGTATCCGTTTATATAGTTTTATATAGTTTTTGGGGATGAAAGTTGAAATACTGATATTGTAAGGCAACATTTTGGCCTCAAGAAGAACTAACATAACACAAAGATAAGCAGTTAAAGCCAGGTGTACATTAAGTACACCCAAGAAACATTGTGATTAGATCACCAAAACCATATTCAGAGGTGGTCAAAGATGGATACTGATCACTGCTGTTCTGAAATTTGATTTTAAAAGTTTTGGAATTAAATGGATAAGATCATAACACTAAATGGATGACTGGGAACAGATTTACTTTGTCCCCCGTTGCTCTCCTCTCCGCTGTGCAACTCTAATTGCACTCTAATTAACATTTGACTTACAAGAGGATCCAGCCTCATGCTTGTTGTACAAGCAGTTTAAAGGCCCAGTGCACACTAGAGGAATAACTGCAGATCTGGATGTTCACTACAAGCTCTTCATTTAAATGTTTGATAATGTTTGATAATGACTAATTTAGAGGATGCAACTCATACATTTTTTATTTTTTGGTGGCCGTGTGTCCACCAAAGCGTTTTTAGACAGCTGAAAACACTACACCCTCTGCTGAAGACGCTGTGCTTTGGGCGCTTGAGAGCATTTTGGCAGCGCAGCGTTTTTTCCGTTGAGACGTTTCGTTGCTATGATACAGAATATTCGCAGCAGTTTGAATGTTGACAGTTGGTCGGTGTGGTATTAGTCCCGCCCCTCCTCCACTGTGATTGGACGGCTGGGTAAAAAGTGACAGTGATGAGCGCTGCGTTTTATCCAAAGTTGAACATTTTTCAACTCCCAGTCCCATCGACCAGTAAAAAATGCCGGGCGCTCGGCGCTTCAGCGTGAAAAAAAATGCTCAGCGCCTCGGTACGCTCATGGCGTTTAAAAAACGTGGCGCTCCCATTTAAAACAATTGAAAACATACGCCAAGCGTGTGGAAAAACGCTTTGGTGGACACGCGGCCTTATTCTGCATACTCTGATCAGGTCAAACATCTTTAAGGTGAAAGGTATCTGAAAGTCTTGGTAAATATCTAGACTTTATTTAATATCTAAACATTAAAACATGCAACTAGCCTGACTTCTTATAGAAAACGAACATAGATGCAAACTTATGTCAGACCGCAACTAGTCATAGTATCTCAAAACACTCAACAGATTGAGAATATTGAGAATTAGAGGATTTTTACCACTCATGCATGTATGAGTGGATTGTCTATGCCATATACAGTCCCTGATCTAGTGCAGTTATTACATTTCTCTGTGTTTGGTTACTTTAATGACAGTTAGAATACTAGTGGCTGTTTTTAGCAAAGTCTTGGAACCAGTATTCCAAGGATAAAAGGGTGTCCAAAATGATAACTGACCTCATTCCTAACCATAACAATAAAATTCTTGGCAGGCACTACTATTTTTGCGATGAAATAAGAGGTGGTACCTAACATGATTTCCTACTTCTTCTGTTCATCCACCCAGGAGTTTCAATTAAGAGGCCAAAACAAATCTATTTTCTCTCTCTCTCTTCCTCATCTTTCTCTTTCTGTGACGCAACAGCCTCCCTGCTATCCGCTTCTTTTGAGATCAACTCCAAAGAAAACAGACCAGCAATTATTAATCAGACTGCAAAAATTAACCTTGTCCTACATGGGGTCACATCTGCCCGTTGTCTCAGAATGACCTGGAAGTGCTCGGGCAGGTGGCAGTATCCAAAGTGGATCTAAAAACTGGGCAGCCCTCATTCTCCACAAAGGGAGAGGCCCCTGAACACTCTTTAAAATCCCATGCAGTCACTTGGCTTGAGAAATAATGTCAAATGTGTTTTCCAGGAGCATTCCAGAAGCATTCCTGTCACCACTCCTTTCCACATACCAGTGGAATTGAGAATACTCTGATAAAAGACTGTTCCTACAGTACATCGTTTAGTTTAGGCAGTGCTCTAGTAGACACTTCAATCCAAAGCAACTTTAAGTACACTTACTACAGGGACAATTCTTCTGAAGCAACCTACAGTAGGGTTAGATGCCTATCTTAATAAAGCAGCCCCTCGGTTTGCCAGTCTATAGCTACTATGCCAAAGCATAATACACCACATTATACCAAGTCCAAAATCTATATCCTTGACATTATATTCTAAAAGTAAAAATCCAGAAGTATTTAGTTAAAGGTAGACTATGTGCAGTAACTTTTGGCCCTCTAGAGGTTAAAAAGAAAACTGCATGCATTTTGCCAAAGAACATTGTCTAACTCTGTTAGAGAGCTATATATGGCAATTTATCTGTTAAATAAAATATTTACTGACTTGTTGAGTAATAAAAACACCATCTCTATGTTGCTTTTACAACATTTAAAAACAAGCAAAGCCCATGTTGATTCTTGTTTTATTACGAGCTCTGTCACATTCTCTTTTCCGCTTTTAAAATGGGTGATTCCCCGGAGGTTGGAGATTTAGCGACTCCACGTCAACCTTTCTCGCTTGTTGCGACAACTCACCTATCCCAGTCCCACACCATACTCGTGTCAGTAGCCGGAGCAACTTTTTTCTATTTATGGATATGACGAGAGAGGCACGGGCGAGTGACGTATAAACACAAAGTCACGCAAAAATTATTCCGCTAGGTCTAAAATATAAACACTTATAATAGGCTTACCATAGTGAATCAGAATAAGTCAAAATGTTATGGTAAGTCAAAAACGTTTTGGAAGAAGAATTGATGTGTTGACTCATTATTTCAATTTAGTCCATTTTGAACAAATAAAGTTACATAGTGTACCTTTAAAGGGGTGATTGATTATGGTTTCACTTTTCTAAATTTAAATACTGTGTAATGTCGCTGTTTGAGCATAAACAACATCTGCAAAGTTACAACGCTCAAAGTTCAAAGCAAAAGGAGGTACTTAAAGAAATAGCTTTTTAAGGACTACAACAAACGGCTGGTAGAGACTACACAACATTTCTCCTGGGTTATTGAGTCTCTCCATCATTGTCTGACTTTTTGTTAGTGTGTGTCTAAGAGAGGTAATCAGAGCTGCTAACACACAGGAGCTCTTGAAGCTCCGCCCTCTGTGTCGGGAGCAGCAGCTCATTTGCATTTAAAGGGACAGACACAAAAACGGTGCGTTTTTGCTCACCCTCAAAAGGTGACAATTTTAACATGCTATATAAAAATATCTGTGGGCTATTTAGAACTAAGACTTCACATACACACTCTGGGAATATCAAAGACGTATTTTACATCTTGTGAAAATGGCATTAAAACCACCCCTTTAATAATAATGCATTGCTATATACAGATGTTTCAGGATCCATTAAGTGATTTATGGTAAAAGTGTTTTCTTACCTGATGAAGAAAGATGCCGCAGCTGAACTGGGATGGTCGGAGGAAGAGGGCACAGCCTGGCCAACCTGAACCTGACTTCTCTGTCTAGAGGGAGTTATGGACACTCTGGAGATGGTGGTGTCTGAAGACCATTCGCCCGGCTCTGCTTGACCCATGAGGCCTTGTGACTGGGGTGGGAAGAAGCAGGATATATGACGTTTAAAATATTGAAATTCAATAATGAGATACTAAATTATATTATGCTAAATTAAACAGTGCCAAGAATCCTATGTCTGGGCTACACCTTTTAGAAGAAACAGACAGCAAGTCCTTACAAGGAGCAAGAGGCAGTTCCCTTACAAATGGTAACAATTACTCCCATGCATTTATGATGAAGTACATAATTAGCCACCAGGGAGGAACATTCATGCCTGTACTAAAGGTATGAATGGGGTTTCAATGGGTAGAGATTAGACGGGCTCACAAGAAATGTGAAATCCTTAGTGAGATGCAGGGGTTGTCAATCCAGAAATGGGTCCACTAGCTCTCTCATGACCCGAGGCAATATAGGCACATCTTCCTCTGCACTCGAGAAAGAGGCCAGTTCAAGAAACTAGTCTTCTGTCAGTGTCTCCAATGGTGTCCACACAAAAGCTCAGTGAAGGTATAGCAAGTGAACAGAGCATGATTCTAGGAATCAACTATACATTCAGACATTTGAAATGCTGTTATATAATTCTTGCATGGCGTCTGTTAACTGCTTTTTCGTAAATAAAGAATCTGAATAGAGTTTTTAGAGTTATTTTGCAGCTTGTTAAATATATCAGCATTGGAACCCATTCATTCAGGTGTGTTTCATTCAGTCAATTGTACCTCTTTGTCTCAGAGTTCTGTGAGTAACTAAGTAGTTAAACCCACAATCAATATGATCTGTCAAGACCTTGTTTTGAAAGTAGGCAGAGTGCTAAAAGGCTCCAGGTAAGGTTGGACCATTTCCCAAAGACTATAGTGAGTTAAACACACTGAGCAATAGACAACCATGGCTTTATTGTGGCATGTCAGCTACTGTGCGTAGTGGTGGTTGTGCATAATGGCTGGATTCGTGCTTGCTCTGGAATCGTGTCTGGCAGCTAAAATAACATCATTAACAATCTTTTCATGAAGCATATCCCATCCAGTGCGTGATGGGTCGACGCAACTCTGACAGGAGAAATATTTCTATGACATGAGCTTCATACATCACAAACCATCAGACACATGGAAGGATTACTCACATGAGACGGACTACGACAAGCAGAGATGTATAGTAACGAAGTAGAACTACTTAAGTACTAAAATGCTGTATCTGTACTCTACTAGAGTATTGTTTTTTTTTCTCATACTTCTACTTTTACTTCAGTAGATATTTTCGATGAATTTAATACTTTTGCTTCGATATTTTTTTAATGTTCTGCTAGTTACTCGTTACAATTATAAAAATTTTACGAATCATTCGTTGCAAGTTGGCTTTCGTGCTGCCTAAATCACACGCCAGGGTAATGGTATTGATTGACACACACATTGACAACTAATGCAGGGGTTGTCCTGCAATGACATTTTTTGGCGGCCACCAAAGCAAATTTGTATCCCGCCAAAGCGCCTTATTTGATTGCTAGTTCAAACTTTTGACTGCTTTCTTTAATAATTACATGACACAATATTGGTACTTTTACTTTTAGTACTTAAGTAGTGAATTTTAAAATAAACTACTTGCAATTCTTAAGTACAAAAAATGTTGAATACTTTAGTACTTCTACTTAAGTGTGGTGCTTAAAGAGCACTTCAACTTCTACTTAAGTCACTTTTGTGATAGAGCACTTGTACTTTTACTCAAGTCCGGGTTTCTAGTACTTTATACATCTCTGACGACAAGTAGTACTGTGACATTTGGTTGAACAATTACTAAAAGCTTCAACATGCGGGAAGGGGGGATTCTAAATAAAGCAGAGAAAAAAATGGATTATTTTCTTTGAGTTGTTTATGTCTGTTTATTCAGATGCCTCAGTATTGTGTTTATGTCTATAATTGCTTTCAGTTTAGGGTTGAAATCAATAATTATGTCTGTCAGTTCTGTTGTAGAACTGACAAATGTGCTGTTAAAAATGGCAAAGTATTCATGTGGACATTAATTAAACTAAATTGGTTTCTGTGAATGTCTACACATACACAATAGCTGTTCCTGCCACTTTTTATATGAGCTGCTTTGCAGTGTCCATATTTTTATGTCTGAGAGAAGTCAGAAAGGGCTCATTTGAACTTAGCACTTATGCATTCATCAACACAAAAAACACCATGCTGGATCCGTGACATGACAGTCATATCACAAAGCACGGCATTCCGATTTCAGACGAGCCGTGATAAATCAAAACAGCGTCACACTGACAGCGAATGGTGTCTATCTGGACAGGACGGTAATCCCCCCACATACAGATAAAGAAGAAACGAGTGTCAGGTTTCAAATCAACAGGATGTTTAAGGGGCTACGCATTCGGAGCGAGACAGAATTTGGGACACACAAACACAGACATTAGACACACAATCACACACACACACACTGAAGCAGCTGTCAAAAAACCCACAATGGGTTTTTGAGGACTTAAGCCCTCAAGTCAAGCTGTTTTCATGAGTGTCAGACAGAGCACGAGGTGCGCATGATGTATCCCCAGGTCGGGTCATTAAAGTACAGCTGCAAGAGCTCCTAGCATTCAATAAATCAGGTATTCTCTTTATGCTACACCCTACACCCAGTAAACACCCCACCAAAATCCAGAAAATCTCACATCTCCTTTCCAAGGTCTGTGTCTTTCACTTTCCTTTATAGAAAGAAGCAGCATAATTTTCTCTCTCTCTCTCTCTCCTTCTTTCTCTGGCTCAGAGGGCGGTAGATCACAGTCTGTTCACGCTGCTTAAGGATTCCTGGTTTTGCTCCCAGTAGGCCACTAGGTCATTCCAGCCCGTATGAAGCCCACGTGGAAAATCCCACCTCGACACGCTCTAATAATTTTATCTGCCAAGCTCGAGCAAAGAGCAATAAAGCTGACGGTAACATGCTCTCAAGTTTTTCTTTCTGTTTTCAAAGGTGCTTCTAATCCGATTATATATATTTTTAAAAACTTCACTGTGCTCATTGCAATGCATTCTGGAAATGTCTTACTATCCAAAACTTTTTGGCCAAAACAATCAAGATTAAGCTGACGATTTGGCGCAGCCTATTCATGTGTAAAAACATGAATATTATATACACTTTCTTAAGTGTGGGTCTGAATGTGTTTTTATACCCCTGTATAAACAGGTATCATGATGTTAATAGATTGATATAGAGTGCCGAAGTGATGACATCACTTTGTAGGACAACACAGCGCATGGGTTTCCTCGATCGAAAAGCTATGCATTTTCCCCATAGACTTTTGGAAAAAGTGTTTAACAAAGAGTTGTGACCCTTACATGTTTTGTCTATCAAGATAATCTTTACAAGTTAATCCAAAATATATACATTTTGAAGCCTATATAAAGTTTTTTAAAAACACAAGCAGACACAATAAAGTTTAAAAAACCACAAGCAAGTTATAACTCTGATCAAAGATCAGATCAAAACATGAAAATATTTAGAGGCTTTGTTCACCACAGACCTTATTTCTGGTGATTTAGCAAAAACCCTTTAAAAAAACCCATAGAATTAAGAGCGAGGGAACAGGTAGTGCTAAAATGCTAACTCAAGTGTTTTGGCCAATAGAGTGACGTCGTAACTTCGGCACTCTATTATCACATCGTAATACCGTGGTACTTGAATATTGTAATCACTTGCTACCATGGAACATATGCAACCAGTCCTACCCAACCCGCTGCGGTATGGGAGGTGGGCGCACGAACAAGGACGCTAAAAACCGCAGCCTCTAGCGTGCCTCTTGAGGCCAGGGGAGTGAGGTTTACAGCCCTTACTGGCCTAAACCTAACCCCCATCCGGCTTCTGGCACCAAATATAACCAGTCCTGCTCGGCTTGCTCCAAGCAGGATTCGAACCCGTGTCTCCAGCGTGGAGGGAGGATGGGATAATGTAACGGAGGCCAGCTAGTAGTTGCTGTGCAAGTAAACCTCACTCCTCTGATCTCAATAGGCACTCTAGCGACAGACGTTAGTGGCTGCAGTCTTTAGCCTCCTTGTTAGAGCGCCCGACTCTCATGCCGGAGGCCCGGGTTCGAGGCCCGCTCGGAGTGGATTGAGTAGGACCCGGGTGGAGGGGTTACATTGGTGCCGTGACCCGGATGAGAGTGAGGTTTAGGAGGGTGAGTGTAATGGAGGCCAGCTATCAGTTGCTTTGCAAGTAAACCTCACTCCTCTGATCTCAATAGGTGCCCTAGCGAAAGACCCTAGAGGCTGCAGTCTTTAGCCTCCCTGTTAGAGCGCCCGACTCTCACGCCGGAGACCAGGGTTCGAGGCCCGCTCGGAGCAGGTCGAGTAGGACCCGGGTGAAGGGGTTACACTAACAAGGGCACAGGACAACAAACTGGTCTATATCTGTTACACAGATCCATGTATCATGTTATTTATCTAAGTAATCCAAAGGACTTAAAAGAAATGCAATAGTATTAACAGAGTAAGTGCTCAAAACACACACACATACACACAAACCCACAGTCTGTCTAAGCATTTCAGGCGTATGTTTGAATCTAAACTTGACAGCTGTCAACTTCTTCATCATGTGTTGATGAATGCCCTGATTCTGCATCAAAGTGCTCCTTGCCATTTGATGTTTCACTTCTTGCTTTTGAGGAACTCTCACCTGCTTCAAAAGTAGTGATGCATCTTTACCTACTAGAAGAGACATACAAATCTACTTCACAGAACACAAGGCCCCTCCAAAGACTTCCTGTCAGACTCAGTCCATCTCAAACGCTTTATCTCCTCCTCGTTCCTCCTGCCGATTGTCATTTCTCCCCTCAGAAAACGGATGAATTAAAGCTCTTTGCTCAAGGCTCTGCTGAAGTCCCAGCGCACTGCATGCAATATTGTCATCCCTCCAATCTAATGAAAGAAAGGAGCCGTTCCAAATTATACAAGGCACATCTTTGAACTAGGGGGAAACATAGAGCTCACAGCAATTCCTGTTCATGCACAAACTACGTGTGCGAGTGGTGTGTTTGGTTAAGTACCGCAAGGCAGACAGCTTCTGTTAGTTTTTTAAGACGTACTGGGCCAGTTTTTTATCCAAGGCTTTTTGCTTTGTCTGTGTACAAGCACATGCTGGTTACTAAAAGCCTCTGTGTCGGCTCAATCGCTGGAATAAAAGCACTTGTTGACATTAGTGCAAAAAGGCATCACTTTTGTTAATCCCCTTTCGTCAAACTGTCAAAGGCAACTGCAAAAGATTGTCAACCACACAAAAAGATGTGATATGTATTATAATTAGATACCGCTCTGATGCAGCGGAGACTCAGCAATGGAAGACAGACAGGAATAGTTTACCTGTGGTGGTGAGCTTTGTTTAGTTTAACACGCTGAAGCTGTACACTTATACAGCTTCAACAGGCCACTGTGGAATGTAACAGTGCAGTAAGGCAGCCAGTCAATAAAACGCAGGAGTAATAAAATGAACTCCTCAAGCTGTCAATCTGCCAAACCTGCATTCTGGTGATCGATCGATATACTGTATGACTGAGACCAATATATCAGACAGATGATAATCATACGTCATTCAGCCATTATGAGAATATCGTCACCAGTCAATAACAATAAATATTTGCATTTATTTAAACTGCTGTATATATACACACTACTGTTCAAGTTAGGGTCGGTAAGTTGAAAGAAGTCTCTGCTCACCAAGGCTGCATTTATTTGATCAAAAAATTATTCTTTAAAATGTAACTTATGCCTTTGTTGGCAAAGCTGAATATTCAGCATCTTTATTACTCCAATCCTTCAGAAATCATTTTAATATGTTGATTTGGTGCTCAAGTAACAAGTCTTATTCTTATCGGAGTTGAAAACGGTTGGTGTCTTACAGTAATATTTTAATAGAAACGTTGGTACTGTGATCTTTGGATTCTTTGATGAATAGAAAATTCTGCATTTATTTAAAATATAATTATTTTGCATCAATGTAAAAGTCGGTCACTTTTGATTAATTCAATGTGTCACTGTTGGATAGAAGTATGAATTTTTTGAAAAAAACAACAACAACAACAGTATATTAATATATATAATATATATAAAATACTGTGTGTATATATATATATATATATATATATATATATAAATATATATTACTGATCCCAAACTTTTGAATGGTAATCCATTTACCTCATCATAAATTGTAACTGAAACAGCAATACCGATCCATTCATTGACTACATGATACTAATTTCCAAAACACTCACTCATAAAGCAACAGGTGCACTGACAATGTAAAACGGCACTAGAGATTTGCAAATCTGTCAATGAGGACATAAAATGTTAACACACAGTCTTAGTGCATTATGTTTCAAGCATGCTCTCCATGTCTAACTCAGTGCATTTGATTCAGTTATGCAGGTGTTTTCAACCACGACTCATTCAGACAGCTGTAGCTCACATAACCGGACCGAACGTTATAACTGATGCCTATGCTGAGCACTTAGAAACAATAATGCTTCAAAAAGCCCTTCAAAGTGAACTTTTCCATTCCAGTCAACCATTATATGACAATAACAACAGCACATTTGACTTAACAAAATTGCATCCATACGTTATATTCAACCCCTACACCCTACTGCTACTGTGAACGATAAATAAACATGGTCACTTCTAAATTGAACACATTAGGAGTTTGATTTTTAGTATAGTAGTAAATGTGATCTGATGCATCACATCAGCTGATTACCGATAAATTCAATTAATGCATAAACAAAAGATCTTGTGAGAGAAATTGAAGGTTGCATACCGGGTTTGGCTGAGGCAGGAAGTTATTGACACGTGAGATGCTCCACATGCCCTCTAAATACTGCTGGGCTTGAATGGTGACTGAGCCGATGGTCCCCGCCAGAGGTCTTCCTCCCATGGTCACCTGCACGCTGGGTTTCAGAGGACCAGCGCTGGGAGACGGGCTCTGAGACCAGCCCAGCTCACGTTGCCGCTCCCCTACAGGCAGGACGCTGTGCGCCGGGTGAGGTATCCTCGATTTGGTAGGTCTGGAGGAAAGAGTGACCACGTTGTGATGCCCAGGGAAAGTGTTGGGAGGCAGGGATGGCATGTGGGAACCAGGGTACAGTTCTTGGAGAGTCTGAAGCGCCTGCTGTTTTAGCTGCTGTGCAGGTGTTCCACACACCTGACACCTCCTTCCTTCATGTCCTCCTTTCAGCGGCCAATCGGGCACTTGCAGCTGGTCAATGATAAAGGAAGCAAATCCAGGGTCCTACAGAGAGCAAAAGAGGTGAAAAAAGCTGTTATAGATAGAAATTATGCTTGTTTTTATTGATTTCCAGATGAATTCTGGCTTGCTGTCTAAAGTATAAAATTATAGTACAAAGCGATACATTTCTGAAATGTGAAAATTATGAAAAAAAAAACATTTCATTCATTCATCTTCAAAAAAAACATAATAATATCATCATCATCATCCTTATCAACAACAACAGCAGCAACAACAATAACAATATTCTATACATCATAAAAAAATATGATAATATAAATCTCAATTTTTTTATTTTATTTTTATATATAATTTTATTTAATTTTAATAATTGTATTATTGTATTTTATTATATTTTTATATATATAACAAAATATATACACACACATGCATGTATATTTAAGAAAATAAAATATTTATATTTATATAGAATATAAATTATATATAAATCTATTTCTTAAATATATACAAGCATGTGTGTGTATTTATATATATATATATATATATATATATATATATATATATGAAGAGTTCAGATGCAAAAGCCTCTAAGTGCCATTTGAAATTTTCTTCTAGAATGATCATTTTTATCAAGCTTGTATATTTAAGTTCAGTAATTTCACTTAAATGGCAATGATAATTACCTATTAATTGTTATTTAAGTGAAATTACTGAACTTAAATATACAAGTTTGATAAAAATCATCATTCAAGAAGAAAATTTCAAATGGCATTTAGAGGCTTTTGCATCTGAACTCTTCATATATAAAATAATTATACACAGTGCACCCACATTATGTAAACACAAACTTTTATTTTGGATGCGATTAATCGCTATTAATCGTTTGACAGCCCTAATATATATATATATATATATATTTAATGCAGCAAATCTTTAAATTGAAAGAAAATCTGATTTATTTATAATCATAATAATAAATGAATTTTATTATTTCTGTGTTATAATGTTATATTTTATGTTGTAAAGATTATAGAATAAAATAATAAAAAATAAAAAAATTCCAGATTTATCAGAGTTCACGGTCTAAAGCAAAGAATCATTTGTGATATTAATACTAAAAATGCTAAATGCTATAACAATAAACAACAATTTATTAGCAGGCCATTAGAAAAATTAATAAGAGCGTTTAAATAAGAGAAACTTGGTTTTGCTGATAAAAACCAACCCAGCCATAAAGCCTTCAGACATTTAGACAAGATCTTCTAGTTGTCCCAGAAGCCTCATCTTAATTATAATATTTCAAACTAAGCAGAGCTGAAAAGTGAGAGTTTTGTGGGTGGAGGGATTGAGCAGTGGGGTGGGGTGGTGGGCGGTAGGGTGTAAAGAAAACAACAGCTGAGCCCGGGCACGAAGCACATTGCAGCGTGTATTTACATTTGATAAGACTCCCAGCAGGGAGAGATATGACAAGAGACCCAGCATGAAAATAATCATCTCCCATTCAATGCCAGGGGCATGACGCCATGTCTACCTGATGGACGGGGCTTATGTGTGTGTACTCGCACTCGAAGACAATCGAGTGCTTGGAGCAGTAACTATTGCTACAATACAGGATCACTTATCATGATACTACAACTGAACACAAAGGATTAACCAGCCGCCGATATAAAAATGTCGAATTAATTGGAAATTAATGACATGCTTGTCTGGAATTCTTCACTTAAAAATGAAAAATCTGTCATTATTTAGTCACCCTCTTTCTCTATACATGGAAAAAAGCTACTTGGATGTTTTTCGTTGCACAGAAGAAAGAAACCACACAGGTTTGGAATGAGTAAATGATGGCAGAATGCTAATTTTAGAGCAAACTATTCCTTCACAGCACTTGTTTGTAATGCTGTACATCCACACTCACATTCTGGTCTTTTAAAAGACAAATGTCACATTCTAGATTAATGAGGTTAGGCCCTGACTGGAGCCCAGGGCATTGATGTTTATGGAGCCACAGAAACCTGAAACCTAAAACAACTACCACTAAATTAAGATATTTATTGCAATTAAATCAGAAATACTACTAAAACAGACTTCAAAATGCAAGAAAAACTCCCCTGTTAAATCAAATTTAATGTGTGTGTGTGTTTAGATTTTTGAATGCTTGCTCATTTGCAATGTATTTCTAAAATGTTCAATGTAAGATGGTAGAACGACATTCTACAGATGTTTTCATGACGTTTATGGTTTACACTGTGTGTACACAAGATTCTTTTTAAAATGGAAATGGACAATTCTGCTTCCAACCTGTAGGGCGACCGCAGAGGAAAAGTTCCAAAGTGTTGCTTTAAAAATGTAAATGGGGTAAATCCTGATTTCACAATGACTTGTAGACCATTTCCCCCCAAAATTCTATGATGAATAGAAAGTTTAAAAGAACAGCATTTATTTCAAATATAATCTTTTCTAACATTATAAATGTCTTTACTGTAACTTTTGATCAATTTAACTCATCCTTGATGAATAAAAGTATTTTCTAATTTCGTTCCCCCCAAAGTAAACAAATAAATTCTCACTGACCCCAAAATTTTTAATGGTAGTGATTAATGTTACAAAAGCTTTCCATTTCAGATCAATTCTGTTCTTTTGAACTTTCTATTCATCAAAGAATCCTGATTTGATTTCACATTGACTTGAAGACATACATATATTTTCTGCAGTATAGTAAAATGTACTGCCATCCACCAGTGCCAGAAAGAGAATTATAAAAAATTGAGGAGAGAGAGAGAGTGAGCGAGAGAGACATGATGAGAGGTAAGATGAGGGTTAGACCCCTGGCCTTGAGGCTTGTAGTTGGCCATTGTGTGACTTTATTGGCAGTCAGCTCTGGGTTTTTATGAAGCTCTGGGGATGAATGCAGGAGCCTATCTGCTGATTAGTGATGCACTAAAGAACAGAAAGCCAACAGAAGGATAAATGACTACATGTGTGCCCTCAGCCCGCTAGTCTGACTGTCTCTAAAACTAATGATGATGAGATATGAGTGTGGGGAAAGGACAGAGGGAAGAGCTACAGAAATACATGGCAGTGAAAAAAGAGAGAAAGGAAAGGGAAATGCAGAAGCTGACAAATGAGAAGATGAAAAGAGAAAAAAAAACATATGATGATGGATAAGATTGTAACATGTGGATAAAGAACTTTATCTATGATATTTGAACACCATTGCTGAAAATTATTGCTAGATGTCATATTTAATTAGACAAGACTGAATATATATATATATATATATATATATATATATAAACTGAATATATATAAACTGAAATATATATATAATATATATATATATATATGTGTATAAAATATATATATATATATATATATATATATATACACTGTATATATATATATATATATATATATATATATATGAAGAGTTCAGATGCAAAAGCCTCTAAATGCCATTTGAAATTTTCTTCTAAAATGACCATTTTTATCAAGCTTGTATATTTAAGTTCAGTAATTTCAGTTAAATGACAATTAATAGGTAATCTTCATTGCCATTTAAGGGAAATTACTGAACTTAAATATACAGGCTTGATAAAAATGATCATTCTAGAAGAAAATTTCAAATGGCACTTAGAGGCTTTTGCATCTGAACTCTTCATATATATATATATATTATTATATATAATTTTATATATATATACTGTATATATATATATATAATTTTTAGCCTGGGGATAGCATCAAACTATTTTGCCTTAAAGAAATAGTTTACCAAATACTGAAAATTCTGTCATCATTTAATCATTCTATTTTTTTTTTTTTTATAGAAGGAATATCAATGGGATCCATTGTTGTCTTTGGACCCCACTGATTTTCATTGTATGAACAAAACACTCTTTAAAATATGTTAATTTGTGTTCTGCAGAAGAAAGAAAACCTAGCGGGTTTGTAACGACGTGTTGACTTTTATATCTTACAACCTAGTTTTTTAGGCTCATCAAATTTAAGTAATACCTTGTATTATAACAAAATACAGGTTTAAAGTTATATGCAAAAAATACACATCTGACTGTGTCGCCTAGGGACACTTAATATTCAGCAATATTATTGATCTGACTGCACTGACACGATTGGATGAGAACTCAACACAGCTGGATGATGACATCACTGTTTTCTACAGAACTGCTTTATAGCTGAATTAAACTCATGAATCAACACTGAACTGATTTCAACCGAATAATGGCAGTTTACTATTGTATTTCAGAGCTGCTTTACAAATTTGCATCATTGTTTTCCTGTAATCACTGTAAAGCTGCTATGAAACAATCTGAATTGTATAAATCACTATATAAATAAAGGTGACTTGACTTGACCGAGTCTCTAGCAGCTGGCACTTTTGCAGCAGGTATGTGAGGGAGGAGCTGTTCTGAGGTTGCGTGAAAGTCCCAGGAACAGCTGTTTCTACACACCCCGTAGTGAAAAGGTGAGCGCTGGGTCTTTTCACAGCAGGCCATTAATACAGATTACATTCACTATACTCTAAAAAGCTAAAGACCACATCCGACGCTAATCCCCGTGGACCTCTACACAAACGCACACACAGATGCCATGGTCAATCTACACAAACGCACACACATATGCCTTGGTCAGTCTACCCAAACACACTGCAGCCAAGGAAGGATTCCTAAGCAGGGTCATAATGTAAGCTATAGACCAGGAGCTCTGAACTGCTATGGGTGTAATTACAGGAGCATTGGACGGCGGCAGGTAGTGTGTGTGTGTGTGTGTGTGTTTGTGTATAAGAACATGTGGGGTTTGACTTTCCTTGGCTCCCAATAAAAAGAAATTTTCAATTTAAAAATCTGGTGGTGCCACAAGCTTCTTAAATGGGAGTCTAATTCTGAGTTGTTGTTTTTTTTTTTTTATTAAAAAATTAGCTTCTTCTAGCTTCTTTAAAAAAAAATTATGCTATAAAGATAGTGTTCAAATGTTTGGGGTCAGTAAGATTTCTTTTTTTAAAGAAATACATCTTTAAATCTTGT